AGTAGTATCCTATTCCCCTCACCCCCATTCCCCCTACCGTAATGTCCCATGCTCCTCAGCAGTAGTATCCTATCCCCCCTCACCCCATCCCCCTACCGCAATGTCCCATGCTCCTCAGCAGTAGTATCCTGTCCCCCTCACCCCCATCTTCCCTACCGCAATGTCCCATGCTCCTCAGCAGTAGTATCCTATCTCCCCTCACCCCACCCCCTCTACCACAATGTCTCATGCTCCTCAGCAGTAGTATCCTATCCCCCTAACCCCCACCCCCCTACCGCAATGTTCCATACTCCTCACCAAGGCCTTTCTCGATTATGCTAGCATTTTTTTCGGCATTTTTTGGGAAAACAAGCATTTTTTTTCGATTTTTCTTGAAAAAGAATTGCTAGCATTTTCTGTCATTTATCATGACTGTGATCCAGATTTCAGTACTCAGAAGGATAAATAATCCTAAAGTTTCTCAATTTTGATTGTTTTCTGTCTGTTTCGACTGTTTGTGCGTTGTGTTACTTGTGTTGTGTTCCTTGTGTGTGTAGATTGTCTGCTTCCGTTACATGACGTACTAACACCAACGGAAAAAAAAGGTATGGGTGGTCAGCGGGTAACTCTTTCTCTTGCTCTGGGTTGTGTGTACCCACGCATGGTATTGCTTCAAATATCACTGTTTAGTGGCTGTTGGCTGGGAAAGTTTTAATTCTGACCCCAAGTTTTAAAAACAAACAATTATTAAGTATCAGCTATTGTTGATATGAGCATATAATGTAAGAGTTTGTACGTTTTGTTTGAAATAAAACAAAGCATTTTTTGGAATTCAAGTGGCATTTTTTAAAGAAATCAGGCATTATTTTAGCATTTTTTTGGCTTTATGTGAGAATTTTTAGTAGCGTTAAATGCTAGTTTTACTAGCATAATCGAGAGAAGTCTACCCTCACCCCCCCCCCCTTACCCTAAGCGTCGAGCAGGCACTTCGACGAAAATGAGCTTTCAAAGCAGCACGCGTATGCATGCGTGGCAAGGTAGATACGAGACCGCAGAGAAAACTGGGAAGAGAAACCTCGGGAATAGGCCCAGGCTCCCGCCTTTGTTCCAGTCTCCTTTGCTCATGCTGTGCAAGTATACAAGTACACGAGTCCATGAAAAGTCACGCGAGAAATATGTAAAGGCGCAGGTCTCCTTCGACAAAGACAAACTCAATTAGCGACCCCATTTTCCTGCATTATGTGGTAATCTTACTCTTCGTTCCTGACTAAAATTAAATTCCAACTTTAGTACTTGTACGAAGGATACAACCGCTCAACAGAGGCGACGTCTACACCACGAAATTATACAGGAATTGATTGAGAAAGATCTATACTAGAATTTACCAAATACCGGAAAAGCCAAACGAAGAAAAAATGATAATGAGAATCGAGAATTGTAGCACACAGGAGATGCAACACTGTAAGATAGGAACAGTGAGCCGGGGAGGAAAATATAAAAAGCAAAAAAGAAAAAGGAATTTGAATTTAGTGGCACCATTCCATCAACCTTCACTTTTTAACGCCCTGCCCCAAATAAAGAGATGTTGATTTAACCTATAAGGCCAAGGTCAAGGTGAAAATAGGTCACGTCCGAATTACCCGGTGTTTGTTTATGTATATCATAAGAGGTTGCACACGCGATTTTTGAATACAAGGCCCAAAAATAACCATAGTTTCACGGCACGTAGGGACATTAAGAGTTGTTTTAGTCCAGCTTAAACATTTTTGCAGTATCTCGGCTTCTGCAGCCTCCTGGGTGGTTTAAATAATGTACTTGGCTAAGTACATGTATATCTAAGTTGGATCAAGTTTGGACGGATTAAGGAAGCTTTCTTTCATTCAATTTCGTTTTCTTGCGCAACCAGATCAATTCTTTAGAGAAATTATGCACGTGAAGAGAGCGATTGCTGTTTATTTTTTGTAAGAGAAGTTGCGTGCTCTGGGACGATGAGTTGGCAAACCGTATCGTTTGTACTTACGTCAGTACACGTACCCGTGGTAGATAACCACGTCAACGACAGACATGGAGAAGCTGAACTCGTCAAAAGCCCCTGCTACATCTCAAAAAACACGAAAACATGGGATTATACAGATTTTTGAAACTTGTGCAGGTCTGCTGTAGAGCTCTGTTAAGCGACTGTTAGGTAAACATCTGCGCTAATTATACTATGTAAATATGGACAAACGCAATTAGAGTTGTAATTTGCTCCGCAAGAACCGTTTCGCTCCCAAAAAATTGCGATACATAACCCCTCATACGGGGCCAAATCCACACTGAATTCTATTGGTTTCAAGCTTGACGCGTTTTGCTACGCGACTGAAAACTTTAAAAAGACACGATAAGTGCAGATTTGAATACGTGACCCTTAAGAGGCGGAAAAATTACTCAAAAACCGCATCGATCTTTTGTTAGAAACAGGTAAGTCATCTTGCCTCTTAAAATATTCATTAACTTTTATTTGTGGTCAGGCACGTTTACCAGCCAAATTAAACGATACGTGAGGCAGCATAAGAAAAAAGTACTGATAACACTATTCAGCACAGAAAACCTTACTATCGGCAAATTTTCAGAATGTAAATTTTTGTTTTTTTTAAGCTGAGGTCGTTACACTTGCAATGCATTCGGTGGGTTTGATTCTTCTCACTTCGCATGGCTCAGATGAACCGTGTGGAGAGACCGCAATTATTTCCCACTTTCAAGAGTAAATTGCACTCGATAATTGCACTCGGTAATCGAGAACGACCCAATCAATATTGGGTCGTTCTAGATTACCGCATTACTTTCATCGAGATTCCTTTCTTCTAAATAAGGCTTTAAAGTCATTAAGAGAGAAGAGGACACGTACTGTTGCGAAACAATCACGGCTTCTTGCGAAACGATGTCGTGGAGAATTCGTTTAATCTGAATTCGCCATCTAGAAGG